CAAAGGCATCTTTAACCATCTGAGACAACATACTGAGTCTCAACTGTGGTTATGATTGCATTTTAAGGGGTTTGTCAGTCTGTTTATGCAAAAACTACCCAGAGGAATTTGGAGAAACTTTGCCGGGGATGGGCAACCTTTAAATTTTTGGTGCGACTCTGGATAATTTTCTATAAAAATGCGAGACGGGGCATCGACCTTGGCGGAGGACTGCGCTCTCTGAATGCCGTTTCTAGCGTCTCAGCAGGATAAAAGCAGCAGAGAATACAATCAATCCCAGTAAACTCAAATCACCTCAGCTCCAGGTTGAAGAACCCCCTGCGTCACGTCGCCGAGTCGATCCTCTTCATCGGCGCCGTACTTTTAAGCCTCTGCTTTATCTTTTTTCAAGAGGTGTCTGGTCTAACAAATGGACTGGCTAATTTATTGAAAAGCCCCGACATTTAATCAAAGCAGCATACGGCGGAGAACTCATTAAAAAACTATTAGATTGGGCTAAGTGTTCAATTCAAGCTTGTGGCACATACACTTCTTCATGCCACTTGCTAGCCGCTTACACACACACACAAACACACACATCTTGCACACACACATATATTGTTCCTGCACCGGTGCAACTAGAAAAGGTATGACAAGAAAATCTGAAGGGCTTCTTAGGAAAATAAACATGGGTGAAGACATTTCAGATTTTTTTTTTGCAGCCCGTTATTTACATATCTACACTATGGGGACTAGAGGAGATGTCTGTTTGTGTACACATGTATGTCTCTGTCTGTCTCTCTACAGGCCAAACATTACAGTGTGTGAATACGTGCATGCTTGTGTGTATTGGCGCATGAACAAGGTACACTCACGCTTTCCTGCACATCAATCTCCCTAATGACACACACACACACTCAGACACACATCCCCGGCAGCCTCCCTGCACACACGGCTCATCCATCAATCGACCACCCCCATTTCTCTAGAGTCCTGTCCCTCTCGTCAGCCAGCGGTCCCGGGCACACCGACACGGGCGCCTCTACAGAGATTCTCTCAACTCCGTGTCCGTTTTCATAGCATGCCACCGTTTAACCTTGGCCGTGCCACGTGTGACGGGTTTTGGGGTGGGCTCGGGGCGCGGGGTGAACAGATTGGTTTAGCATGCCTGGTCGCTCCGGTCCCCCTCGCCTATCCATCTATCTGGGCACGGAAGCAAGCGGAGGAGAAAAAAAAAAAAAAAAAGGAGGAGAATGAAAAAGAGGAGGAGAGGGAACCATGTGGCGGCGCCTAGCCCCAGGAAGAGCTCCCGTGCATGGGCAGCTGGCCCAGACACACAGCCTCTCCCCTCTTCACCCTCCACAAACACAGGCTGCCTTGTTCAGGCTGACAGATTTCACAATGCAGGCAGCATCTTTCCGTGGCTGGGTAAGAAAGGCGTCTCATCGAGAGGTTCGACTTTAAAGGGGTGTTTGTGTTTTTCCAGAAGGGAGGTTTATGGAGAAATTGAGGGTAGAACTGCAAATATAAGAAAATAAAAACATATCCTTCATTGTGCCCTTCAGTCTCTGTCGCTCCTCTCTGACTTTGCCTGCTCAGCTTTATTTAGAGAGAGGGGGGGATTAGAGGTTGGAAGACCCAGAGGAGGGGAAGTCCAGTTGTGGATAAGGATTCTGAGCATTTACAACCTCACATTGACAAACACACATTCGCAAATACACACTTCTATTACCCTCTTGGCCCTTCGGTGGGGAGGTAAGCGCTAACCTGTCTGTCTGTCACTCAGCTGATATGATAATCCAGATTTGCCGTTGTTGCCCTTGGGGGCCCCCCCTTCTTTAACTTACCCATTAATTCACAATTTACCCCTCACACGCAAACACTACTAGCTTACTCATAAGCCACCCACAAGGTCAACTATTCATCTCTTCCATTACCTGCAGTTACACTGTAGGCTGTGTTAAGACTAGCACTGTGTTGATGGGGAGAGCATATTATCATCCTCCACCTCAGCAAGTGCTACAGAGATGTGAACACTTTTTCCCAAACTGACGTGAATCAAGTGTCTGTCAAAGATATATGAAATCTGGACCAATCAGGTGCCATTTACCTACTCAGTACCTTAAAATAAGGTTATTTATATTATTCACAATACAGTTCTAGAGTTTCTCTGTTAATAAAATGTGAAGGCTATTGAAGGAAAATTAGTGGAAGACATCTCAGACACACACAACTTGTTTTGTCGATGTCAACAATTGTGTCAACTGTTTGAGGTTTGGAGAATATTTCCTCTCATGAACAATCAAAAATAAGTTCTTAAGAAGACTGAACTGAAAATACAGAACCCAAAGTAGAGAGTGCAACCTGTGATCGGTGAAACTAAACTGTGTACACCTTTGATTTCCAATGAGCCTTACTGCATGAACCTGTGAACATCAGATCTTTGTTTGACCTACGGGTTGTGTCTATCTGTTGTCTGCATCACGGCTCCACAGGGAAAACAATTGGAAATCTGAGACTTCTCAATGATTAGAAAGACTCCAGGAAATCTCTGGAACACAGTTGCAGCAGTAGTTAGGAGGTGAATGAGTCATTGGACCACTAATCAGAGCCACAGTGTGCTATGTTTACAATGTAGCGAGCAGAACAAGCAAGATAAGACTTCCCTAAAGAACATGAAAAGAAGCCTGATGAATGTTGGGAGTACATTCAATAATGAGATGAGATCAAAAGTGAATTTGTTCTGGTCAAATGGAGTCCAGCATGTTTGGCGTGAACCTGACCACATACTATACATACTACAGTAAATACATACTCCTGAAGCACAGATGTGTGAGTGGGATAACATCTGGATATGACACAATGAATACCTGTGAATACACAAAACTGACTGAAGAGACGACTGCCAAAACCGCACAAGAGGTTCGAAGGAAAAGAAAAGTGAAAACCATGACCTTGCCAAATTTGTCACCCAACTTAAATCTAATAGAAGACCTCTGGTGTATTTTAAAGAGAAGCGTAGAGCAACACAACCACTCTAGTAAAGAGCAGCTGGAAACTAGTAGAACATCTTTCCAGAAATGAGGTATTTTTAATGAGTCTGTCTTTAAAAATAAAGGTGGACAAAGTATTGACCCACAATAAATCTGCACAGGTACGTTTATATGGCTGGATTCTCTTGAGTATTTTGCGGAAGTTTCACTTTGATTTAGCACAAAAACTCATAAATTATGACAATTCTAAAACAATACAATGACTTAAGTGTGATCTGAAATTTTGTTCCGATGGTGTGACCAAGTCCCAACAGCATCAAACAGGAAATAAGAAGATGAAACATTACTGCACCTCCACTTGTGTCTTGCATTTCCATGTGCACTAGATCAGGGTCCACATCCACACCAGATACAGACCTAGAACACAGAAGAAAATGACATTAATCAAAGACATTCTCACCAGGGAGAAAAAATACATTCAGAAATTAGACTTAAAAACACATATATGACCATTTGTTGACTTTGAGATACACTTTAGCACAAGCACAGTAAACTGTACATCAGCATCTAACATGCTGTGGCTCAGGTGGAAAATGAGTCAGTGGTTGGTAAAGCGGTTGTCCTCTGATCCGAGGTTGGTGATTCGATCCCCGTCCCTCCACTGTTGACAGTCGGTAAGACACTAAACCTGAAGTTGCTCCCAATGGCAGGCAAGCACCTTGCATGGCAGCTCTGTCGCCATTGGTGTATGAATGTGTGTGTGAATGGGTGAATGAGAAACACATTGTAAAGCGCTTTGAGTGCCACTAAGGTAGAAAAGCGCTATATAAGTGCAGATTCAATGCCAACATTAAATGGAAATGCAGGAATTAGTGTGACCTTTACAAAGCAAAACAAAATGTTGTGGAGGTTGGGGTGGTGGATGAGTGGCGTTTAAGTGGAAGCGGGTCAAAAATCTGCAATTAAAAGTAACAATGTTGCTCCAATCTAACCATAACCAGGTTCTAATGTTATGGAATGCTTTCCATACTCATTATTTCAACACTACAGTCACATAGTTTCTTAACTTTTGTTGACATAATCAGACAAAATTCCAAAACTTCTGGCAAAAAAACGCTGTCACTGAATAAAATCGGCCGAATCATCCAACATCAGCAGTCTTGTCTGGAGACAGAATTCCACATTCAGCCTTAGTTTGCATTTTGAATAAAAGGCTACTCTGCTCTGGGAGGCTGGAACATTTCCACTGATTGCTGTTTGTGGTTTCATTGTCTTGGCAGAAGAAACGGAACTGGGTAGATCTATCCAAATTCCTGCACTAATTTCATTTAAACCAAACAAATTAATACAAGATATGATAGAATTTAAATTCAGTGATGTATTTAAGTCTGGAGTGCCAGATCCCAGCATACAAGTGTACGGTAGATGTTCCTTGGTCCCTTTTAGGCACCTCAGTAAATATGCACAGCTCAGCTCTTCCTGGAAAGTGCACTTATGAACTCAGCCTAGCCTCGCAATGCTTTAAAGCCTCCAAAATTTTTATACCCTCATTCCTTTTTAGAAGCGCACTTATATAGACTACAGTACACTCGCTCTGCGTGCCCTTCAGTGAGCAGTAAACTAAGCAGTTCATCTGATTAGAACTGCGTAGGGCAGTCTGTGAAATTTCCCCCAGCCCAGTAAAGATAGAGTGGAGATTTAAAACCTCGTTACTTCGCCTATAAAGGGACTTTACGAGCAATTAGCAGGCCGTGGAGGGATGGGGAGGCAAACGAAGAGGAGTGGTACGAGGGCGAGAAGATCAATCACAGGAAGAGAACGAGCTCATTGACGACGGTTCAGGCGTCTTCAGTCAATCTGAATGGTCAGTTAGCTTAGTGATCTGTGAAAGCCAAAGACCTCAAGCAATACGTCAGGTTTCAACAGGTTACGGTGTTCACACATAACAATACCCATAAACATTTATTTGATCCACATTGTATTGGTATTACACAGGCCTCGTTTTCATAGCAGCACACGATACCAAGAGATAGAGGTGACCTCCATGAATATTTTATGAGTTAGGTTCCAACAGTGTCTGAGAAAACCCACTTGACTTCAGGTAATTCTCTTGACATGCAAAACATATGCCGCTGATGCTGTTTTCTGACCTCGTAGATCAGTGGTTGAAAAAGGACCTGCTTTGAATAGATTCAAGGCATACCAGTGTTGAGATAGGGTTAAGTAAATGCAGTATTTGACTCCAGACTGTCAGTATTTGGACAGCTCTTTCTATACTGATGTAAACCTACGAAAACGTGTAGTATCTACGATTCAATGTCAAACACAGAGCTCAGAGAACAAAAGAATACCTACACGCACAAACGCTTAAACCTTCAGAAACAAGTGTTGTTTACTGCTGTCAGGAAACATAATGAGTACACAGCACAAGTGTTCAGCATCTTCTAACCAAGCTGAGAATTGACTTTTCTTCGCTTTTTCTCCACCAAGGACATCCATTTGAAAGCTCTGGCAGCTATTTAAATGGAAGCATCTGAGGGTGGAAGTCCATTCTTCACCTTGGAAGCAGCACATGTGACGAAACAAGTTTATGTAACAACTTATTTAATTATAAGTCATTCTAAGGCCTGATTTTGCCATGTCTATAGGAAATGTATTAGAGTGGTGTGACCAGGGGTTAAATTGGGAATTGTGAGAGTCACACACCTTTACTGAAATTATTATCTAGAAAGTAGTTTTAATAAAAAACTACACATTGTATTTAGTAGATGTTTGTTGTCCAGAGTAAAAGCGGCTTTTTCAGAAAAAAATATGCTGCAAGAGAATTTTCTAAATGTCATTTTTTTTTAGGCAGAGAAAGTTCATTCCTTTGACCTCCACTGTCAGAACCAGAAACCTCAAAGTAAATCTAACTAAGAGCTTCTAAATAGACAGATACAAAAAATATCTTTTTAAAATGTGTTCGTAAGTTTTCTGTATTTTGTAGTAATTTGGATAAAGCTACATTTTATAAAGTAAAAAAAAAGAAAAGAAGAAGATATGTGAAGTTCCAAAAAGACAATAACACAATAACATCCCAGATATACAAACAGAGACACACTGCAGCATCTACTGTAACTTATATGCTGAGAAACTGTACTTTTTCATTTTTTGTCAGACTGCCTGTAGACTTATTTGAATTTATTTCAATGATCAGGTCAGTTCTCTGCTTTCACTTATGCCACGTCTACAAATATTGTTGTTTATAAGCAGCAAACCTAAAAACTCCCTGTAATGACCCACATGATGCACAAGAAAATGCATTAAAAAAAGAAATGTCATGATTTCGTAACATTTTGATGAAAATTTTTAGAAAATATGAATTTGTGCACAACAGCTCCATTGTGTGCTTTTAGAAAAGCATTTGGGCTATGCCGGCTATGTAGGACCACAATGACGTGTCAAAATATGGAAGTAATGAATGGAGTTTGCTGCTGCTGCTGCTGCTGTGCCACCTGTTTAAATTACACACAGCCTTTCTCTGAGTGTTGAGACGGTATAGATCCTGCTGCTATGTGATGCAGCACCTGTTTAATGAAAGTAAAAGAAAAGAAGGCTGATACTCTATGGCACGAATCAAGATCTGTGTAACGCAGGAGGAGATGGAGCTGAACTCGGAGCCCAGTTTGGTAATCAGAAGGCAGAGGTTTCTTTCACTTTAAACTCTGAGTGTGGAAGTGCTCTTCAATACGACTTGTTTTGTTGACAAAATCAACTATTTCCAAAGCTTGGTCGGGTCACTGCAGGTCAGGAGATTCTAATTTAAGTGTGGAAAGATTTACAAAACTCTAATAGAATATAACAATGATCAGAAGTAGCATCCTTGGGCCATAATTGCTATGTGTGTCTGTTCAGTACTACAGGTTATGTATAGAGATGACTTCAACTGTTGCATTCCGTTACCAGCCTACAGTAAATTACTACACTATTGTCTGGCTTTAATAGGATGTTATTAGGCTGCTGTGCTCATTGGCGTCGTTTGGATAGGCCTATTAATGTGTTTGCACGGCTGCTTCAACCACCTCCAGGGAAAGCTCTGGAGCTGTTATTTTGTGGGCTGGTTTGGGGGGAAACCCTTGATCTCGACTTGATAATGCAATCTACAAAAGGAATAAGACAAGTTATTATGCATGCCGCTGCATGTTTCCCTGCTGTTATCTATTAGAGTGCTTTTAAACCAACAGGTCTTACGCGTCTTGCTCAAGCGTCCTTGACCGAGTCTTTGAACCTTTGGCTTCTCACTCAGAGCAGGTTATTCTGGATAAAAGTTTCAGCTTGCATGCTTGAAATGCAAATGCCGAAAGACTGAAGGTGAACGCACACTCTGCTCTGGCTATACATCAATTATTCATTCCGGTAACGTTTTGGTCCAGTTAGACCTTCATTACAATCAAAATGTGTGGGATTTTCGTCTCCTTCAGTCGGGGAAGTGAAAGCAGATGGAGAGGGGCTGAAAGGGAAGCGAGGGAAATGAAATGAATGATAGACACGACTGATTGAGAGATTGAGAGATAGGGGGCTTGATAAATAAAGAACATAGAATTGATTCTGAAGCGCGGGAGGAGGAAGCGCAAACATGCTGCAAAAACATCCTCCTCGTGTGGGAATCCAGTTTCATCCCGGCTCGAGGTTTTTTCTTTTTTTTCCTGCCATTTGATTATTCTTTTATCCTCACAGCCTTTCATTTTTTATCACCTATCCTCCAACGTTTGCTTTCTGTTGTCAGTTGTCATCCTGCGAGATGCCAGTTCAATTTCAAAAAAGCTGCTGTTTCTTTTCATTCGGAGATGACAAACACAAACTTTACAGCCGGGGATCACAAAAACAAGGTCCACCGGAACACATTTGGCCAGACCACCCCGATGGCAGATTGCTTTTAATGTGATGTTTGTTATGTGATTTATGTGCGCTGGCTAGCAGACTGCTGTTCCCTCGCTTCTTTTATGACCCTCAAGCCACAGGCAAGGCAAAGACCAGATCCCCTCCCTCTAAAAAACTATCTGTCTCCTCTGACCACACACATTTACAGCACATGTATGCACAGTCAGATCCACACATGTGTAATTTTTTTTTTGCTTTACAGGAGAAGAGAGGCAGATTGCAACTTTATCATAAAAGCAGGCTCCAATACTTAGCGTTTGCTGCAGGCAGTTTCACCCGAGCCAAATAAAATACAGCAGTGTGTGGTTCACTTTCAAATAAACATTTAATCTTTAGATACAGCTATGGCCAAACCAAATAAAAAAAACATGTAATCTATTCAAAATTAGAACATAATGAAATCCAGTTGTAAAAAGTAGAATGTTGAAGGGAACTGGGAAACAATTTGGGAATATGTTTGTTTTCTTTTTTCCCAAGCTTCACATGAGAAGATTGTTATCAAGCTAATGTATGAGTATGAAATGAAATGCTCTTTGGGATACTTAGACTACTTTACCAAGTTGCTAAAGGCTAAGGTGATACACATCCACTTTAGCATTTAATGTCCACATTTGCTAAATTTAAGTCCAAAATTCACTTTAATTTCAGCTCTGTTTTGGTTTCCCTGAACTACTGAAGGGAATTTCTCTTGAGCTGTTAAATGCTCCACAGCCAACTGCCTACTTTGTCTGTCGTTTGGCCTCAGGCATGTAATATACCGTCGGTTTTTAGAGCTTTCTTTAGAGCCATAAGGTTCACTAATTACCACAATGTATCTCCATAATGCAACCCATGCATGGACAGCAACAACTTTTTGTGCTTTTAGAAGGAGTTGGATGCAGGAACTTTTTGTTGGGAAACAACAGGTAACGCTCCACCGCCACAAATAGCCCCATAATCGTCTTTTCAAGCTTTCTGTTTCCATGGGATCCTTCCATCGCAACATTAACTCTGACTGCAACAACAATAAATAGTATTCAATGGATGTAACTCCAGTTCTATGAGCAAGCAGGAAATACAAAAATGAAAGTTATGTTAATTTGCCCGCATGGCAAATTTGAAGTTGTTGATCACAATCTTGCTATTCAACGAGGATGTCCAGAGGTACAAAAAATGGTTTCCACTTTGAGTTTAACCAATCAGCATCGAGATCTGTACAGCACTGAGACCTGCAAAAGTACCTACCCAACAGTAGGTACTCTTTTCTCCTCAAAGAGGTTCTAAAGGGACGGTTCTCGCAGTCGTAACCTGCTTGAATGTTGGGGCTGGCCTAACGGCTCGTGAGTTTCCATCGTGGAAAATGGCGTAATCAGACTCTGTTATACCGTGCAGCTTCCTTGAGATGCAAGATTTGGTCCGATTGGGTCAGCATAGAGGGCAAAATCAAGAGATCCTGCACACGAGCTGCATCGATGGATAAACTGTTGCTTCTCAAGAAATAGTTCTGGCAATATCTCAGTGACATGTTGGTTTTGGAACAAAGATGGTTGGGTTACCAACTATTTAGCCATTTTAGAGGCTTCAGGTTGATCAATTTCCAGTTGTTTTGGTAACTTCAGTTTGACTTCAGTTAAGATAAATGATCAACATTAAAGGTTTACATGACCAAAATAAGCAAAAAGTACAAATGGCCTTTTAGGGGACTTTAAATGTTAAGGTGAAAACCCAACAATACATTTTTCAGTTATTTGGCCCTCTCATGTGACTGGATCCTTCATCAAAGTCTAGCTTTAAGACCGTTATTATCACTTTATTTTGCCTTCACATAAGTGTGTTTAATCAAATAATCACAAACTAGGTTTTATTCTACATAGAAAGCTTGTTTGCTTAGTGGGAACGTGGTGGTGGCAGGGTTTATATTCAGTGATGGGTCGTAAGTGGGATGATCAGTGCATGAAAATGAGTTAGCTTTAAGCAGCATAGCTCAAGGAACGGCATTAGTGTTGGTTAGTCTGTCTGTCTGGCAGGTCCATTTCAACAAATAATGAATGGATTGCATGAAACTGGTACAGACGCTCACGGTTCCCAAAGGATGAAAGTTAATAACTTTCCCTGAATTTCCATCAAGTGCCACCATTAGCACAAAACATTAAAATCATCAATCAGTCATGAAAACACCATCAGGCTTTAAGCTAAGTAGTTAACACAGACACCAGATTTGCATTCATTTTCTCACGTCATTTACACACAACCAAGCAGAAATGTTCAGCTTTACCTTTAAACCACGTTTTAGAGTTGGAACAATCAAACTCTCCTCGTTATATGGATAAAAGCTCAAGCTCCACATTCAGATCCCAGCCATATCCTGAGAATGTAACTTTATTCTGAAGTAGAAAGCACTTAAGGCTGTTTTTCTCTCCCCGACTCTCTCATTTTTTACAACGCAGAGTGGGGATGATTTGTGCGATAGAGTTGCTGGTATAAATCAGAGTTTCCTGGGCAGACGAACCAGCTCATTTGCTATTGGCGGCGAGAGGAAACAAACGAACGTGGAGCTCGCAATACCTTCCTGACCTTCAGAAGACGAGAAAGAGTTTACTCGAGCTTATTGAAACGCCGCACATTTGCGCACATCATTAAACAATAACGCATATTGGATAGGATGGAGGATCAAGAAGGAGCTAAGTTGAGATGGGAGAGAAAAGGTAAAGAAATGAGAGGATGGAGGACAGCACATAAAGATACATGTTATAAGATAAAATAAAGACTGAGGAGGGATTGGAAGAGATAGCTCTGAAGCTGTGAAATATTACATGTGCAGGGAGAAGCGATATACTTCTTTCTTCCGTGGGCACTTTTTCTGCCACTGGAACCACAAAACTATCAAGAGATTCGTCGATAAAATGGTTCTGCAGCATAAACTCCAGCGCTTACGACCCATTCAAATTGCTAATTTAAGGAAAACTGGAGTCGGCGTGATCAGCGTTATGGTAAACATTAAACAGATTTATTAGCATCTGGGATAAACTCCTGTAGATATAGCTTTATTGTTTCGACTATATTGCGGAAATGATGATATCAGGATAGAGTAAAAAAAAAAAAATAAACCCATTAACTCTGCAAGAGATCAGTTTATTTCCTGACAAAGCTTGATCAAAACAGGGTTCTTTTTTTGTTTAACTAAAATAAGTAGAGTAAAAAGTTATAGAAAAAAAACCTCCAAGGGAGCTTTATTGTAGGAAGAATGTAAGGAGTTCTTCTGACTAACTAATATTAAGAACTGAGTGTTGTGTCAGTTTTGCAGAAGAAAACACCACTATCTTGGATTGTTATAGACTACTTTATGTACTATCCATCCATCATCTATACACCGCTTAATCCGTCGAAGGGGGGCTGGAGTCTATCCCAGCTGACTTAGGGCGAAGGCAGGGGACATCCACGCTGCACGGGGAGAACATGCAAACTCCACGCAGAAAGATCCTGGGTGTCCTCACCGGGACGCGAACCAGCGACCTTCTTGCTGTGAGGCAACAATGCTAACCAACTGCACCACTTTGCAGCCCACTTTATGTACTAGTAAAGCTAAAAACAACTAAATCTAAACCGAAACCAAGTGTTGAGAACAGTTCTACTCACGTATACTGTTTTGTTTTTGCTTTTTTCTTACTCCAACATTACCAGATATGGATACAAGACGCTAAAAACTGTCAGCCAAAGGGTGAATTTGTCCTAATTCTTAGAACAGGATTACTCTTATTCATACAGAGAATTAACTAGTATTATTGAAATTCAGCTGTTGATGTATTTTGATATGCTTTAGACCTAAGTTATGAAGTGATAAGGACTGTATAACCTCATTCAATTCCATTTAGTTTTATTTATATAGCGTCAATGCACAACACACGTCATCTCACAGCACTAGGGTATAAACCTTTTTAAACCCAACAATCCAATGTTCCCTTTGGATTCCCTTTGAGCAAACAGTCAGCGACAGTAGGAAGGAACCAAATAAAAAAAACAAAACAACCCAAAAGCCCTCGACAGAACCAGGCTTGGGGAAGGTGGACATCTGCCTCAACCAGTATGACTGGGATTGTAGTGTGAAGAAATTTCTATTACTTTGTCGATTTTTGATCTGTTTTAATAATGTTGTTACTTGGGTATGTACAAATATATAACCGAACAAGCACAATTAGAAAACTTAATTTCTTCTTTTTCTTTTCTTTGTATTGAATCATTTGCTAATATCTCTGCAAGACTGTTAGATATTAACATCAATACAGAGGGCAGTTTGAACAAGAAGAAGTAAACGCAGAGCTGTGTGCAGGTTGTAACGCTGAATAAATCTGATGTAGATTCAAGAATATTTTTATCACCAAAATTGCAGGCGAGCGATTAGTTTTGTTGAAAAGGTCAAGTCGCGCCAACATCTTCTGTGTACTTTAGCGGCGAAGGCCTTCAAGATCCATTTGCATGTACGTATTTTACTTAACTCAGAAGAAGTCCTTGTGCCCTTATCTCCTCTTTTCTTCTTTTCCTCCTACAAAACCCTGACATATTGTTCATCTGTGTAAAGAATACTTATATCATCGTCTTTTGTAACGAGAAGGAGAAGATCTTCTTGCCTGCAGGCATTCTAGCAGCTACTTCTCTGTTTCTGCTCTGTGTATATCAATAAAGAGAAGAAGCCATCAGCGGAGACATTCCGCACATTGACTGAAATCCTTAATCGTCAGCGAGAAGAAAATAAAGTTTAACTGACCAGAAGACTTTGTCCTTCGTCACCCGCTCCTGAAGTAAAGTCCACTTGCGGCCCAGATCCGTTGAAGCGAAGAGCTGGATGCAAGAAACGCAGACAGAAGAGCACAATTAGACACAAAAACTCAACAGCATTAAATTGTAAAACTTATTACCAGCTGGATCCTTTACAACGGAGCAGAGTCTAGCTAGAAAAAAAAGTTCACCCATTCAGTCCACCGAATTTCATGGTTCACCAAGTAAAGACTGAGCCCAATTAATTATTCATCATAACAGGTTGGGTGGTTGCAAAGTGTGTGCTTATTCTTTTGAGTATGCATTTGTGTGTGTGTGTGTGTTGCCGGAGCCTGTATGGCATTGATCGCAGCCATAATGAAAGTCTATTGATTCCTACATGCAAGCTATCCTTGGTATTCGAAAAAGCCAATGGAGCTGAGAAAAAGGGGGTTTCACCACAGAAACTTCCTCTGCAACACAAAAACTTTCTCAACGCCCGTCATCAGCGTGTTTAGTCACAACGTTTCTCGCTCACGGTCATCGGAAAAATAAGTCGCAAGCGATCAAAAACGATTCATAAAACACATTCCGAAGGCGCCGGCAAAAAGAAAAGCGGAAGCTGACCTTGATATGAATCTGCGTCTGCCCTCACCAAACCTTAATTTACAAGCGTCCTCACATCATCCTGCAGCTAAATGATTTTTTTGTTCTGTTTGAATGGATTTCTCGTTTCCATCTGCAGCCTGCCCATATGGAACAGATTAAAACCTAATTGAATTTCTTGTTTAATTACGTGTAAATTATTAAAGTTGAAGAAGAGTTGAGCTGGCTTAAACTTATGAACTATTCAAACTTACAGTATGTCCAAACTATATTTCTTCAGCTTGCACATTTTTTTTATGTTACAGTATTTACAACCAGTAACACACAATTCTCTCGAACCAAAACATCAACGAGGTAAGCCCACTAATGCAACGCAAGTCAATCAAAGAGCTCATCACTGAATGAGAATAGATGCACAGTGAATTAGAAGTTTTTATATTTTTATTTCTTTCCATGTGCACATTTTAAAATCAGTCAAAATTTATTTTACACTAAATCTGGGTCATGTTTAACAGTTTTTACAGTGTAGTTTAGGTACAGCCTTAGAAACTAAACAGAGTTTTGGCAATTTTGTGTCAAAGTAGTGGAACAATTATGTTCATGTTGATTTTGAAAATGTGAACTCTGTATGTTTAGCAAAGAGCTGTAACACAGATATAATGTGTGAGACTCTATTCAAGAGAGTGGATGTTGGTTTTTGCTTTCAGAGCAACGGAATGATACATGACATAGAAAATTATTTTGGATTGAATCATTAATTAGTGAGTCAGATGGTGGTGGTGTGTGTGGTTTCTATCTGTTTTTTTTTAAGTAGAGAAAAAATCTTGGAACTAATCAGTCCCTTATTTTCCAGTGCTTTAAAGCAGTGGATCCCAGGGTTTTTGCTTTGTGGACTTTGGGCACCTGATTTGAACTTTACTAGCCCATTAAATGTCTGTTGTTTGTGTGTATCATTCCCATACATATGGACATAGGACTCTCTTCTACCTCCTAGTAAGCTCCGTATACGCGGTATCCATCCTGATCGTTGATGAACACTAAGGAACCTTGATAATGTCAGCAGCCTCTTGCGGTTTTGTGAAGAGGTGCATGTAAAACTGAGCTTTGCAACATCTAGCAAATGTAGCAAGTGGGTGTGTTTTATCCTTAAACAAGATCCTTTTCTAAACTTTAGCAGGCAGTTCCAGTGCCTTAACTCAATAAAAACTAATTACCGAGTGCAAAGCAGTGAATGAAAGTGAAAGTGAAAGTGAGACTAAAGTCAAAAAATAAAGCTAGAATTAGGAAACATTATGCTGACCTCCTCCATTAAATTATTAAACGGGGTGACAGCAATGTACTAGGCCTCCTACAATGGTACAATAACGTCCAAATTGGGCCACTTGTGGACACGGGCCAATAGAAACGACTTTTATACAGTGTTAAAAATTACAGTTAAAATAGTCTAACGGCACTAATACTGTAAAATGTGTCACTAGATGGAAGTCATCTTAAGGCGTTGCAAGCGAGGCTGCTCTGTATTGTATCTACCTTTCATGTTTACTGCATATCGTTTGTTACAGTTCAGAAAGTTTGAACTTAATGGATTTAATTGGCCACTATTTGTAATTCACTGTTGCATTTCCATAAATGTTGTCATTCCATAATAATGGAACTTGCCTCATCCTTTGTCCGTTATTGTTTTAGGAATTTTAGTTGTAAAGTTGTACCATTTTTAGTAGTTACACTTTTAAATGAATTACGATACAATCACTTTAAAAACATTATTTTACTGCCGTTGCCACATTTTAGAATTTCACAATGATTATCCATTTAAATAAGATTTTAGTAATGGCACTGTAAAAATACAGGAACTCTACATGGACGTTTCTTACAGTGTACAGCAGCCATTTTACAAGCCTTTATTGTCAAACTGATATATTTTCCTGCTGTGGACAAATGTGTCCATACACAGTTTGACGTGAGACTGTGTTGGACAAACGCACGGTTTCCATGCCTCAAAATCACATGATGACATCCAGTATGCATGTCAATCAGTTACATAAGTGAACTCCAAGGCTTTCTACCATAAATGAGGACACAGCACTTCTGACCAACTCTTTTCTTGCAGGTTCTTCCTCTAAAGTGCTGGAGGCTTGAATGTCTTATCAGCTGAATCATCTCAATGCCTCTTAGCAACGAGACATAAGTAATACATGCTATGATATACGATGACGTGTTCGGAGTATGGAAGCAATTACCGCTAATGCTTGGGCTGCATGGAAAACATCAGTGTATGACACAAGGAGCCATGTAGCAGAATTATTATTAGCCGTAGCAGTATGCATGGGAACTCATTAACCAGCGGCCCGGGATTCCTCCTTCGCAGTCTAATTGTCACTGCTAATTGGTCCATTCTAACACTTGCATGTTGACTGACAGTTTTAGTTAAGGTGGGACGTCAACACAGCACCACGGTGAGGCGTCCATTTAAAATGCTGCGGCAAAAAATAATTACCAGCTGCCTTCACCAGTACAAAGTGCTCTGATGCGTTGCGTGGTATCTTTAATCATTGTTAGGCATCGCAGTGCTGTACAGTTAGGCTTGCAGTGCAACTTAGCTCATTTGGTAGAGTTTAAAGTGAGCCTCCAAATCATAATAGGAACAAAAAAAGTATATTTTCAACAGCATTTCACAACTTGACATTTACAGACTTGTAATGTATTGAAGACTTGGCTCCTATTTTTAGCCAGTTTTTAACTCGAAACAGCTGTTTTGATCAAATTCATTGCTTATACGCTGACGTTCCCAGAGAGAGGTTTGTTATAACAATGAACATGTCAATGTACAATAAAGTTGTTGTGCTCAGCTTCAGTTTTACCTCCAACCAGAGTGGATTTTATAATGTAACTAAAGCACAGCTCGATAACAACCGGTCTGATTGTCTGGCTGCTCATGTTTCTGGTCCTAATAGACTGTTGTGGTGATACTGTAATGGAAATCCCCAGCGAGCAGGTCATTTCTGTTTCATTCAATTTCATTTAAAGAGCACCAATTCACAAGACATGTCATCTCAAGGCACTTTACATAGTACTGTAATGTTCCCACAACATTGGCCAACTTTACCTACAAGTTTTAATAGCGTTTAATTGCAAAAATGAATGTTTTAATGACATTTATCGTGTCCTGAGCTACGTAACTAAGTTAACTAATACATAATGTTTTAGCTGAAACATATAGAGAATGTCATGAATGTGTTGCCAGGGCCACTGATTATGTAAAGTGGGAAAGGGAAAACATTTGAACAGAAAATTAAGTGTTTTCAGGATGTTATCAACGCCTGAGATGACAGAACATATTTAATATGTACTTACAACTTCCCAATAATGTGATATACTAACAAGGTGGAACAGTTTTCCTGCACAATTCTGAGGATGTTGTGGGAATGTTATGGAGGTAGCAAATAAAGTGGCTCTTTTATAAAACACTCCCACATCATTACATTTTACCAAAGGAAGGCCATTCTCAATGCAAAATTCAGGAATTGTTCGTTGCATAATAGCATAACAACGTTATTACCAAACATCTTCAGAATGTCCCTAGGAAACCATTATCCTGCCTTTAGGAAGAACATTTTGGAACTAAACAAAACTTCCTGCTGAAAACAGTGCTGCAGCTTTGGAGATCTTTCTCAGATCATTTTGAGATCTGCTCGCATAATCGTGTTATAATTGATGACCAAAAGCATGGCAGTGTGCCCCAGTAACAAATCATCCTAAAGACCAGAATGATTTGTGTGAATATTGACCAAAAATATATTGGAGGTAGAAGAAGCATATACAAACTTACAGAGTGTAGTTTTTCATCTAAAGTTCCCTCCTAAAGTGAGTTTGTGACATGTCATCAGAATGAAATATGTAATATTTGTTTGTTTTACTTGCATGAGAACATTTTCCCCGCAGCTGTATTGTTACATGATGAATCACATATCAAGTTTTCGTCTGAGGTCTGTTGGTATGTGCGAAAATTGAAAATTTAATGCATTGCTGCACCGACAGCAGAGATGTTTTACTGGTGTAACATCAACGCTGTCTCCTTGTTCATTCTCTCAGCTACAGACTCAGTTATTCGTTTTCATGTTTTTTCTTTCTGCAGTGCCGCAATACCCACCCTGCCCTCCTTGCAGTACGCCAGCAGCTTGTCTTCTTCCTTTGGGTGGAAGACGAGCGTTTCTGGCGTGAAGGCGATGGACTGCCGCTGGAAGGAGGAACCCTCGTCCGTGCTGATGAACAGCATCTGATCGCGTTCATTTATGGATGAGCCCACCAGCACTACCTGTAACAGAAGCAGAGGAAAGGGGGGCGGAAGAAAACAAAAGGTCAGGGGTGAGTCGGTCAAAGGGATCAAACGCATTCGTCGCTCAGTCAGCAATCTGTCGAACACATACAGAGACGCTTTTCTCCTCGTATCAATACTTGTGTATCTTAATTCCCCCGCTTGCATTGAAAAACTGATGAACATAAATGCATTCATGACCACGCATGCACATTTATTCAAGGCCGTTCGCTGGGCCACAAGAACTTTCCATCAACCTTACAGGCTGCGTAGACCGCGGCGACACTGTATTGATTATCTATTCAGAGTTTTATAGCTCATAAAGTGAAGGCATTAAACAGGGGGCACACCAGGACCTGCCAACCCACCAATCACAATTATGGTCCGGACACTCCGGAGTAAGGCGACCGATAGGGGGGGGGATCGATAGAAACTAATGAACCGGTCACGTTCATTAGGAGTTCCTGAGAGGCGGGAAGCCGTCCAATGAGGATTCCTCTGTGTTTATTATCATCACGGGGTTGTTTACGACTGATTCTTTACAGAAAGCAGTTGTTCCAGGGACCTTTCCAGCTGTGTTTTTTTTTTGGTCAACGAAATATTGAACAGCGCCTCCTCTTTCTAACCATCTGTTTTACAATGTTTTAGATTTATGGATGTGAAGCAGTAAGAAAACATTAGAGGAATAACATGAGGGGCGAGTTCAGCTTGTAATGGTTATTTAAAACACTAATTGTGCTTGTTATGCATGTGTACAAATAAGCAAGCCGGCTTATGATTCAACTCCAAAGACAGGAAGTGCAAATGCTTTCTCAATGTTTACTCTCATTTTGAAGAAATCACATAAAAAGTACAAGTTTACCAGGTTTCTCAAGGGCCAGCAGGTTTGGGGGAATCAGTCCTTAAGTATTTAAGGAAATAATTCAGTTGATTTAGAAGCCTATGGAAAAAAATGGCCCTATTTCTCCCTGATCTTGATCCTTAATAAACATATTCTTAACGAGTTTATAGTCTCTATTGCTAGATTCAAGACTCTTTGAATACAGCAAGATGTTCCTTTTGTAAATTATGGCTCCACTTAGAGTAGAACAGACAAAGCAGAGTAGACTTCAGGGCGGATAGGTCGGATTTTTTTTATGTGCAGTCTATGGTTTAAAGGCCTTTTTCTTATAAAATGAACAAAAGACAAACCCTCATGCCAAAGATAGAACAACTTGAGAAATTTGTGTCTCACTTGCCATTCAGATTAAAATCAGCTGAAAGTTATTCCCGCCTGTCCAAATCTACTTGAATACTTGAGTTTAAAGTATATATTTTGGAAGCTTTACATATTTCATCAGCTATTTTACACTTTTATTGCACAGTATTCTAAAAGTGGAACAAATGATGGAACAGTTGAGCATAAGGGTGCATTCTTGACTCTTGAAAGCAAGACTGGACAGTGGTAAGGTTTCCCCTCTTCTCAAGTTTAATACAAGTCGGTGGGTTGTTTTGGAAACTTTAAAACGTATCAACTGGATTTCTTTAACTCGATAACTTCTGATGATTACACTTTCTTGTGATATGACGCTAACATGTTATTTTAAAGGGGATTGCATTGTATCGATATAAACTTCCAACTCGAGCCATGTTTGTGGAGATCAACTCAGAGGTGTATGCAGGTCACAACGGTGATTAAATATGAAGTAGATTCTACCTTTTTTTGTTTTGACTCGCAGTGTTGGAAAGGACAAGTTGTGCACTTTTCAGCCGCTCACCACAATAAATATTTTAAGCGCAATTCATCTGAGAAGAAGTGATGTGAACCCACTGGGCTGGAAGGGTTAACCCAGCCATGTTTTCATCCAATAGATTAATTCATGGTCCAATCACAAGGTTTCTTTTCTGAGCTTATAATGGCATCAAATACTGTTTGCGATTTAAGACTGAAAGCTGGAAAACCTTGGAAATTTGGCATTAAGTCAGAACTGCTGTTGTCTCTGCTAATTTCTTCTCATTTCTAATCCTTACTCAAGAAAACATATCAGCTGTTCGCTAATGATTTTATTTGTGTGCATTTGCATAAATGACTGAAGGTAAATAGAAAATTAACATATCAACAGAAAGTTCTCAGACTTCAGCAATTGGTGAAGATTTAACACTGTTTCTGAATATCCCTCTGATGTTGTCTGTTTTTTTTATTTATTACATTAATCAGATCAAAGTAGAACAAGCAATTAACAGCAAATTAATCCTGCACTATTGTGAATACGGCAGAACTGTTGCCAAATATGAAAATTCAGTTTGTTTGTGTTTAAAGCCGGTTAATCTCGGTATTTATTGACGTATTAAATGTAATTTGTCTTTACTGTGTTTTCATCGCTAAATTCTGTCATTACTAAACACATTTCTCGTTTTCTCTTTAGTGTTATCAGATCTCACTCACAGAAGCTTGACACTTGCCTCACATTGAACTGTGAGTCATGTTTTTTTTGATTATAATACAGAAATGAAACACATTTGTATGCCTTCAGACACACATGCTTGTGAGTGAGCGCGCACACATACCGATTCTTTTTCAGTATTCTCATCATGACTGCAATTAGGCAGCGCCCGTTGCATGCCTCACATCTTTTTCCGGCTGCGCTACTTTAGAGCTGTGTGTGTGGGTGTTTTGGGTGGAACTCTTCCCTGAGCAGCATGGTCAATTAAAAGCCCAGCGCTTGTTTGGCAGTCGGAGGAAGGCCAACAAGGACGAGCAGCGGAGTGCTGAAGTCGGAAGAAAAGGATGGATGAGCGTCATTTCTCTTAATCTAATATTCTTGCTTGTTATTTATTTTTGAAAATGTTGACTGTGAATGTTTGCATCTGCACCTGGGAGCTGTCCTGGGTGTTGGCTGTTCACGGCTAATCAGATCCATGAGAAAGTGCACGCTTCGTTTGCCTCGATCAAGGGCACCTTGAGTTTTTCTCATGGATTCGGAGTTTCGACAAACGCTCCTTCAGTTATGATCCGACATTTCTATCATCTAAACTGCTGCAGGTGAAATCTGAGTAAGGGTTTAGGAAGACAACAAAGATGCCTTTAGTTACATCATCTGTGCGATATCATCCATCCATCCATCATCTATACACCACTTAATCCCAGCTGACTCAGGTTGCCAGTCCATCGCAAGACAGACAGACAACCAAGCACACTCACATTCACACCTACAGACAATTTAGAATCACCAGTGAACCTCAACATGTTTTTGGACTGTGGGAGGTAGAACCCAAAGAGCTGCACGGGGAGAACATTGTGCCATCAGTTAAATGTAAAATAATTCAAAACTGCTACACCTCTCAACAATCACATTACTTCTGAGTTGAACAGGGGAGCATGAACAACCAAAAATTTCACAAAGACTATAATGAAAACACAGGCCTGAAAGTCAAAACTCAGTGCAACAAAAGTGAATGCACCTGTGATCACGCACACAAAATTGAATATAACTGTGATTTCCAGTAGTTGCATCAACATGGTAATGAAGTGAACTTTCTCAACTTTGGACCTACAGGTTGCAAGTCTGCATCATGGCTCCCAAAATATCAGACAAACTGAAAATTTTGATGGTGAGACTCAACGACTAACTAAAACCCATTGCCCGATAGCGCTGTTTGTGCAATGTAGCTCTGAAAAAACAGCCAGACAAATGCTTCAGACTTGGAAAAGCAAGGGTTATCAATGCAAATTGGAGTTTGAGTGACAACAGTATGAAAGAGATTACATAATGCAAACCTCTGTGGATGGTGTCCAAAAAAAACTTGCTGTTTACAACAAAACCATAAAATGGAAGAAAATAAAAAGAAGTCTGGTGGATGTTGGGAGCATATTCTTGGATCTGATGGTGTCCAGCATGTTTACCACAATGACAGCATAGTCCTAAGAGTGAAGCACGGAGGTCTGAGTGTGATAATACTCCAAGGTGCTGGATTGATGACATTTATGGCTTTCACCACCTGTTGATATACTCAAATACTAAACAACAAGAGGACTCCCAGTCTCCAGAAGCTTGGCAGAAAAAAAAAAAGCCAACAATAAAAAAAAAACAAAAAAAAAGTTAAAAAAAAAAAAAAAAAAAGAAAACTGTGGCCTGGCCAAGTGTGCCAACTGACTTGAATCCAACCAGGTAGAGCAACACAACCCCTCAGGCGAAGAACACCTGACAAAAATAGTCTATGAAGAATCTCTCCAGAATTGAAGGATTCCTCAATGCCGTGGAGGAGTTAAAAAAAGTAAAGGTGGACACAAAAAGTACTGAAAAAATACAAGATTTCAATCTAAGCAATGTGAACTGACTTCTGTTGCATTAAGTTCCTGCTGCTGGGCCTGTATTTTTATTAAAGTAAATCCAGACAGTTTCTCATTTCACATCCTGACAAATACCCTCCTGTTCTACTCAGGAGCAACGCAGTTATGTTAAGGTGATACAATTTGGAATCATTTGACATTTAATGATATTCCACAAGTGTTGTATACTGTACATGTCACAGTAAACTCTTCTGGTTTCTACCCCCAACTAGACCCCCTCATTCTGATGCGCATGTCTCACTGTGGTTTTTGCTTCACATCCCTGTGGGGCTGAAGCATCAATCAGGTCAGCCTGCCTCTGCCAATATGTCTCTATTTAAAGGACATCACTCAGTTAAAGCTAGTCGAGCTGTGACAGCTGGACATCCTCAGCACACACTCCTTCCCCCACACACGGATCAGATGACCAAACACTGAGAGAAAATGAACAAGGAATGCCTGAAAAACCCCAACGTGGCTCAGTTTTTGCAGCATGAATTTGAGTTCAATCTTCATTTTTTAAGCTTGAACAATGATGGAGAAGTCATGTGTGTGTCTCTGTAATATTAAACTAGACCCACTGACCCAGCATGAAATGGATAAATAGCTTTTAGTTTCATTTTGAGTACAGCAGTTAAAGCAAGAAAACACTATCTTGAGGGCATCTATTGAGTACACTGAGGTCATGTTC